CTGCTGAAGCTCTAAGGCTATGTTTATACTAGTGCTATCACTGCCATGGTCAGATCTCTTTTCAGAGGTGTTTTACAGGTGGTGAGATGGCAATATGTCTCCTCCTCACTGCCTACTGTCACCTGGTAAATGCCATACCATTGCACCGCCACTACATGAATTGCACATGGTTGAGGGATGGTTGCAGAGTGGCCCTTTTCAGTTGAGTAAGTCACGTTCGGTGGTGGCATTGCCTACAGAATGCAACAGGGGGATCATTTTTGCTGCAGCCAACTTGACAATGACCCTATGACTAATGTATCTACTTAAATCATTTTTACATTTACCATGCATGCGTATGTTAACCAACACTCTGCAATCTTCACAAGGTTACTCTTTGTGAAGAAATACATTACATTCCTCAACTTCTCTGCTTTTTTTGTTAAATTTTCCCCTGATCCGATATAACATATGTATTATTACATTGTGCATGTTCCCTTACCAAATGTAATGCACATGGTCACGGGTCAGTTGTGGAGCATTCACTTCAATGAGCCATGTTTGGCAGCAGCACTGCTTACCAAATGCAACAGGGGGATAATTTTTGCAACAGCCAACTTGACAATGACCTAATCTGCCTACCTAAATAAATTTTACATTTACCATACGAGAGAAGGCATAATCTGTTAATCTGTGCAAAGAAATGCATTACATTCCTCAACTTCTCTGTTTCTGCAAAATTTGATTCTAGATAACAAGGGTATTACTACATTGTACTAGTTCCCTTACCAAATGCCAACTCTGAAAAACTAACTTAGTATTACACCATAACAAGTGCGTAACTGGTTCTCTAAATAGTCCATGTGCAAGTTTCACAGGCATGTGGCTATGAGCCAAAATAGTTATTTATTTTTTATGTTTACCTATTTTATCTGTTGTTTTTTTTTTGTCTTATGTATGTATGCACAGAGCAGCGCTGATCCTCCTCTTCTGGGGTTCCCACCGACACTCCTGGCTGCTCCTGCCTTTGAGTACCCCCCCTAGCAAGCAGCTTGCTGGGGAAGGGGGGGGGGTAACTGTGAGGGCTCAATCCCTAGCTACACTGTACTGTATGTCAATAGATCTGGCCCTGCCCCCCACCTCCTTGTCATGGGATTTGATTGACAGTAGCAGGAAACAATGACTCCAGCAACTCTCACTAAGTCCCGTGAGGAGAGAGAGCAGCGCCGCTCTCTCGTACAGCTACTGTTGCCACCTCATTCCTTCAACCACTTGCCTTCCAGAGGATTTACCCCCCTTCCTGACCAGGCCATTTTTTGCATTACGGTGCTGCGTTACTTTAACTGACAATTGCGCGGTCATGCAACACTGCACCCAAATGAAATTTATATCCTTTCTTTTGGTGGTATTTGATCGCCTGTGTGGTTTTTATTTTTTGTGCTATAAACAAAAAAAGACCGACTATTTTGAGGAAAAAACAACAACATTTTTGACTTTTTGCTATTAAACATATCCAATAATAAATGTTTAAAAATCTAATTTCATCATAAATTTAAGCTAAAATGTATTCTGCTACATGTCTTTGCTAAAAACAAAATCCTAATACATGTAAATTTATTGATTTACGTGAAAGTTATAGCATCTACAAATGGCAGTATATAAACTGGAATTTTTTTACATTTTTGTTTTTTTTACTAGTAATGGTGGCAATCAGCGACTTATAGCAGGACTGTGGGACTTCGGCGGGCATTCTGACACTGGGGGGAACTGACATGGTGTCACTGACATTCCCAGTGACACCAATAGAGTGATCAGTGCTAATAAAAAAACACTAATACTGTACTAATGGCACTGGGCAGAAAGGTGTTAACATGTGGGGTGATCAAAGGGTTAACTGTGTGCTATGTGTGTTTTTACTATGAGGCTGTGTGTGTGCAAAGCCATACAAAGCAGTGTAAGCATATAGGATGATCATCAGTAACTATGAGCAACCCTTCAGCGCTCGCACAGAAAATGAAAAATTAGTGAAATATGAAATTGAAACAAGAATAAAAAAGGAAGGAATAAAAACCAGTCCACAGGGTGAATGGATGGAGGATAGGATTCCGGGAGAAATCCAGTTAATTCAGGATACAGCGATCAAAAGGTCCATCCAATGGATATGTAGAATGAGAAGGGAATGGACCGTGAAGACTGAAGAACCACACAAGCAGACCAGAAACTCCTCGCCAAGGATGGGGGGATCCCACAGAAGCATGCAAAAGAACAACAAGCAAGGCGCTGAGTCAGTGTGGATAAAAACCATAGTACTATATTTAAAAACACTTACATCTAAAACTCCCTCAACGTGTGTGGCAGGCAGGAACACTGGAGCCAGGGGCATCAGAAGAGTGGACAGGGCCGTAGAAGGTCCTTAACCCATCAGCAGAACCGGTATCTGCTCCTTTGTGCAAGGAGGAACAGGATGAGCACTGCCAGAGCCCCACAAAATGACCTCCAGCAAGCCACCGGTGTGAATGTGTCTGACCAAACAATCAGAAACAGACTCAATGAGGGTAGACTGAGGGTCCAATGACCTCTAGTGGGCCTTGTGCTCACTGTCCAGCACCATAGAGCTCGATTGGCATTTGCCATTGAACACCAAAATTGGCAGGTCCACCACTGGCATCCTGTGATTTTCACAGATGAGAGCAGGTTCACCCTGAGCACATGTGACAGATGTGAAAGGGTCTGGAAAAGCCGCAGAGAATGTTATGCTGCCTGTAACATCGTTCAGCATGACCGTTTTGGTGGTGGGTCAGTGATGGTCTGAGAAGGCATATCCATGGAGGGATGCACAGACCTCTACAGGGTAGAAAATGGCACCATGACTGCCATTAGGTATTGGGATGAAATCCTTGGACCCATTGTCAGACCCTACACTGGTGCAGTGAGTCCTGGGTTCCTCCTGGTGCACAACAATGCCCAGCCTCATGTGGTGAGAGTATTCAGGCAGTTCCTGGAGGATGAAGGAATTGATACCATTGAATGGCCCCCATGCTCGCCTGACCTAAATCCAATAGAATACCTCCGAGGTATCATGTTTCGGTCCATCTAACGCCGCCAGAATACAAGGCAAGCTGTCAGAATATAAATGCCTCTGGTGGGAGATTTGCCCATCCAAGCCATTTAGCTTAGTTGGAGGAATCTGTTAGATCCTGCAGGCTGACCAAAAGAAATCTATAAGTGCATGGCCAGCTTTATTTTCTGTAGGATCCTAATAATAGTGTCAGGTATTAGGCCTGAACTCCGATAACAGACAGGTTAACTTCAATGTGGGCCATATAATCTAACACCAAGTGAATATGAATGCCTTGATAAGAAAAGCATACAAGTAAATACAACCATACACACCAGGAGAGGTAAGGCTGCACATTTATAATCTAAGTGGAGATGAAGATTCCTACATGTGTTACTAGTTCAACTTTTAGTATAACTAAAGGCAAAACTTTTTTTTTAGTTTTGCATACAGTACATAGGGATTAGAAAGCTTGTCAGTTTGTGTTGCTGTCTGTGTCCCTGTTAAAGAGATTCACCCTCTTTATTTGTCCTGTTTACCATTATCATTGAAAGCGAAAGTAAAAGAAAATCCCAAATTTTGGGCTGTCCCCAGAAAAGTATTTAAGGGGAAAACTTCCAATGGGGACGCTAGTTCTGGTGACCTGGGGATCCCCAAATAACTCCCTTAATTTGCAGGGGTTTTACTCTCACTTCCTGTTTTGGCTATTAGACAGGAAGTGAAGGGACACAGATGGACCCTCCCTTACACTAGCCATTCACACTAGCTTTGGTCTCTGAAGAGTGTTTCAACATCAGATCACTCTTCAGAGAGCATTTGACAGGTGGTTAGGAGATGTTATATCACCACCTCTCTGCCTGCTGTTGCATGGTGCTTGCAGAGTTGCCCCATACACTCAACTGGGTCGGGTTTTATGGGTGCTATGCCTGCCAAAAAGGAAAAGGAGTATAATTCCTGCCCTGGCTGCAAAGTGAAGCATCGCAGCATGTCTACACTCTCAGCCTCTGCAACTAAAGGGGATAGTTGTTGATAGGGGCAGTACAAATGCAACTTAACCGCAGGAATTTAGTCCCCCCACCTGATAGTCAGTGGTGTATTCAGGTTTTGTACTGCCCTAGGCAACAAAAAAATTGGATGCCCCCCCACCTTCAGCAGAGAGAGCACCTGACAGTGACCAACAACACCCCTGCCCCACCTGAGGGAGACTTTCACTAACACTCCCACCCCCCCATCCATGGCGACAGAAAGACACTCACCTTCACAGCTCTGGACATCCCCGGCAATGACAGTTGGGCGCTGCATACATCATCAAGCAGCCCGCAGCTTCTCTCGGATCCCACCTGGTCCCCATGCCGCATATGTCCCTTCTTCCAGGGGTCAGTGCTGCCCCCCTAAAAAAAATGCCACCATAGGCAAATGTCTTGTTTGCCTTGAGGTAAATACATCTCTGCCGATAGTGTGAACAAGCACCAAGACTTTTCCAAGAGAATAGTTATTGTTCTGTGTCTTCACAGACATATTTCCAGAAGATATATGAATGAATATGCTCTAAATGAATAGCATCCCTCTTATCTGCAGTGTTTCCAATTGGCCCCTTCTGCTGGGTTTATCTTAAGCCGCATATACACAGGCCAAACATCGCCCGAAATCAGCCAGTATGGTAGAAATTGGCCAATGTTCAGCCCATCAGCATCGGAGTGCTGAGAGGTTTGTTTTGGCAAGGCGGCTTTCCCCCTGTCAGAACACAATGGCACAGCAGAGAGACTGCTGTACTAACTTTGCATAGTTACCCCTCACAAGCTCCTCAGTTTATTTCTCATTCAGATGCTGGGTTGAACGAAATAAAACTTACGGTGTGTACCTACCAGGTATTAGACTTATGTCTTATCTAAATTGCAACTAAAGACCCTCTTCATTATGACTATTGTACTTACCTGGTTTCACAAACCCAGGATTGAAGCACTGCTCTGTTAGATTGGGTGGAGACCTTCTAGGCACAGTTTCTCGTGCATTAATAACTTCCACTTCTCCTGCAGAGAAGAATATATATACAAAAGAACATACAGTGTGATTGTAAGTTGTCTTCAATTATATATCACTAAAATAATGGCAATGACTCGTTATTTGTTGGCATTAACAAAGGGTCAAACTGCATCAGTGGTTGGAACATACCTGTTGAGGCATTATAAATAGTGAAAATGACACCACCTCCTAGGCCCATGCTCTGTGGATGTATTACTGTGGTACAAATTAGGGCCGCTATAGCACTGTCCACAGGGGAGCCCCCTTGCTTCAGGATGTCCCTAAAGGAAACAAAGACAATTTTTTGAGAATTAACCAGAAACCTGTCGGTCACAAGCTGTTCTCTTACACTTTGCACTCCATTCTACAGTTTGCATTCTTCATGTTTTACATAAATAAAAGTTGATCATTGTAAGCACTCGTTAGGGGTAAATGGTTTGTCTCCAACTGCTACAGCTGCAGGAGAGCTTGTTTAGTTGAAAAACAACAGACTTACTAGTAGGACCACCAGGTGAAAAAAAAAGAAAGAAAACCTAAAATAGAAAACTAATGTAGCCATCACATCTAAAGACTTTATAAGCAACAATATAATAAATACTTTCTTATAGATTTAACCTTTTTGCTTTAAGAGGGTGGGCTTTTTCATCTTCCACTCACCTATAGATAAGCTTTTCTATGAATGCTCTGCCCTTATCGTGTAAGAAAACTCAGACATAGTGGGGGAGATTTACTAAAACTGGTGCACTCAGAATCTGGTGCAGCTGTGCATGGTAGCCAATCAGCTTCTAACTTCAGCTTGTTCAATTAAGCTTTGACAATAAAACCTGGAAGCTGATTGGTTTCTAAGCAGAGCTGCACCAGATTTTGCACCGTGCAGTTTTAATAAATAACCCCCAGGGGGATTGGTTGCTTAGGTACCCAACACTGCCAATCAGGTTTTTGACATGCTTTGCTGAAAGATCGGGCAGTAGGGTAGCACAGGGAAGGTGGCTAAAAATTCCAAGTGGTGTCTGCTATCAACTGATCCTCTTACTTTGTCTAGTCCAGGCAAAGTATAGGTTCCCTTTACCCAAAAAGAGGAATTGATGACAATACCACAAGCCCAAGCAGGTGTTGGTAAATTAAAATAGCAACAAACATTGTCAATGAAATAGAGGAAATTAACATGACAACTAGGCTCACTTAAGCCATCAATGTGCCTTGGGGTGGGTGAGAGACGATGCAGACTCTCATCTCACATCCAGTATTAGATCACCAGGAACTGATAGCTTTAATGGACATGAGGATATTTACTCGATTGGGTTGACCTGCTAAGGAGGCCTGGATTACAATATATTCAATCAAGCCAAAGTGATAAAAGGATTGAAAGGAATTAATTAGTTAATATATGTCATGTTTTCAATATTTGTCATAAAAGAAAAATTAAGGATTCAACCAGGAAGAAGTATACATTTGTATAGCCGTACTGTAAATTTGTGCACCCATCTTACACTTTGTTTTTGTCCTCAAACTGTAAATGAGTTTCCCTTATAGACCAAACAACCAGAAAGATTAGTTGACAGCATATGTAGGCACAGGTTCATTCTAGGACATAAAAGGAAAGGAATCCCAGCAGCTCACTACTTAGGCCTCCTGCACACTGCGAAGCTCAAAAACATTTTTTCCCCTACAGGAGTTTACAGCATCAAAAGGTGGTAAAAAGCTGTATTTTTGCAAGCGCATTAATGTGCGTTTTTGCATGTGGCGTTAATGCATTCTGTTGACCAGAATTCTGTCCATTAGAATGCATTAATGCGGGAATGGGTGTTACCTGCCTATCATTAATGCAAATAATGCACATTTTTTTTCCCTTTTGAGCGGTTTTTATGCTTAATAGCTCCTCTCCTGAACACACAAGTGATGATGTTTTTTTTTCTGCCTCTAAACTCCCCTGCCGCTAAACTCCTGAAAATGCCTACAGTGTGCTTGGACACATAGGCTAACATGGAGTGGAGTTAACAGGAAGAGAAAACTAAAAGCTCAAAACAGCTCAAACTCTTGTTGGAGCAGCTTCTTTTTAGCTGCAGTGTGCATGAGGCCCTACTCGATTGGCAGCACTACCTCTGTTGCTGAAACCTCCCACTGTGAGCTGCAGTGTCTAAAGCAGAGCATCTGAGACACACGTAAAGGAAGATTAGGCTCAATCAGGGAAGGTAAAGGAAGTAGACTGGCCTGAAGACTGCAGAAAAAAAGGTACGTTTAAAATAATGTAAAAAAAAAGGAGCAGATGGGCCTTGGGGGGAGGTAAGATGCATATTCGTTCATGTTGAACTTTTCTGGGGCATCTTTATATACACAATGCTTCTTAGAGCTCTTCTTTAATTATAATGCCTAATCAGTGCATATATGTTATTGTACATACCTTTCATGGAAAAAGTGGTTTGCAAATAACACATTTTCACTGGAAAATAAAACGTCGAGGAAAAATGGATACACAAGGGGAAATAATCCTCTAACTGAACAAAGACAGGAAAGGGCAATTTATAGTGGAATTTGTACAAGTGCTGAGATGTTCATTTTTTTTTCATGCTACATACAGTAATAGACTATGTCAAGCTCATTGTGTGCAGCTACAGTACTTTCACAAGCATATTTGAGGAAATCTGCTTATGTCATCAGAAAGCTGATGAACACTTAAAATGCAGAACTCAAGCAAGCTTAAAGTATAGCTAAAGGCAAAACTTTATTTTCACATTTTTGAAGGAGTGGAGAGGGATTAGAACCCCTGTCAGATTTTTTTTTTGCTGTCAGTGCCCCCTTAGGGAGAGTTACCCTCTCTGTGTGTCCTGTTTACCATTATCATCGAAAGTGAAAGTAAAAATAAATCCCAAATTTTGGGTTGTCCCCAGAAAAGTAATAGAGGGGAAATATTCCAATGGGAACACTTTTCGGGTGACCTGGGTGTCCGCAAAGAATTCCTATAAATTGTAGGGATTTCCTCTCACTTCCTGTGGTGTGTTTTACTGTAAAAGAAAAATACAAAAACATTACAGCAGAAATGCTTGCCTATAGTTCTTCTTTAAGACTTACCTGATTATACAAGTATGATTTAAGTTCTCAGCCCCTAATGCTGCTATAACAAGAGAACACTGCTTTACCCATTCTATTTGTATAATGGTAGAGAAAGAAGAGATGTAGGAACATACATACCATTATAGGGAGACTCCAAAAACACTGTGTTGAGGGCAATTCTCACTAATATAGTTTCCAACTATAACTATTGTTTTTGACCCTTTAGGTTCCATGTACACGAGTCTACCCTGACCGCCGACCACAGGAAAATGCAAATTGTGGCAAAACGTGGCAATCGCAATTTTTCCCACAGTTTTTCCACGTTTTCCTGTGGCCGGCAGTCAAAAGGTTCCTGTCCTCTTCTGCGTTCAAGAGAGGGAGGTTTAGGGCTCATGTACACTGCAACTCCTAAACTGACATTCAGGAGCTGTTTAGCGTTTTTTTCAGCAGCCCCTGAACTCTCCCTAATGTTTTCCTATGTGTCCATGTACACATAGTTGTTTACAGTCGTTTTTTTGAACTCAACAAACTTGCGTTCAGGAGTAGATTTTACTGGTGTTCCAAACGCCTGTAAACGCAGTTAACCGCATTTATAACCATTTGCGTTTAGAAGCATTTTTTAATTGTTCCATGTCCAGAGCCTTTTTTCATCATCAGAAATGCATGCAAACCATTTTCCATGTATTCAAATGGACCTAGTACACCAGCACAGTCAGTTCCAGGTTTCGTGTGAAGGAAAAAATGGTAGAATGTTCTGCAGTATGTTCATGATGGGATCCATAGTGACTACAACCAGAAAAGATAGCTAATCTCAACACATACTGATCTCTCTGCTTCTGCTCACTCTATTTCTCTCAATATGTCTGAAATAATTAATTATTTACTATTTTTCAGTGCATTCTGGGCACTTGGGAAGGTCTCCTGAGGTTATTTTTTTAAAACAATTCTAAACGCACATAAACACGGCTAAACTGATGTTTTTAACCTATGTTTTCCAGCAGTCAGTTTCCATCATTCAGAAGAGTTTTCCAAAGTGACAAGTAATCTACATACAATTCACAATGCATACTTGAATGGACAGATATATAACATGTTTTGTTCACTGTATGAACTAAAAATAGTTACAATGTTTCTGTCTAAGAACCTTAAAGTCTATGTAGGCATAAAAAAGAATTTCCTTCCTCTACCACCTTCCCTATGTCTGTTTCTGTTACTGAAGTTGTACGTTCTGCATCATTTCAAATTTGATAATGCTGATAACCCTTTCATATGGATTGTATGCCTCTGAAAGTATTATGTACCTGATGATTTTGAAGCTTCATGTTAGGAATATCTGTAATGTCCCTTTTTTGAAAATGTGAAATCAAAGATTTTACAAAAAAAAAAAAAAAAAAGAATTTTCTTAAGCATAGTCAAATCATATTTAGCATTATTTTCTAACTGCAATAATGTAATATCTGGGATTATATCTAGTGATCCTTCCATTATCTTTGTGTCTCTAGCTCTTCCTATGCTGACGCTGTTAACCACGGGATGAAAACCCTGTGATAGAGAGGTTATTGCTAATGAACAATACTGGCTGACTTGCCCCCCATTCTGCCCTGAAGTGTGTAATTTAAAGTGCCTCCTGTCCACAGTCAAGCTGTCACCACCAAAGTGCCAGCCAGATGCTGCAGTTGAAACCATGTCCCCCTATTCTGGTGCACCTAGCAAATCCTGAAGAGACTACAGTCAAATTACCGCCAATAAAATTAGGAAACTAAAATATTTAAGTTAACATATTCCGTATCTGTGGGACCGCTGTGGAAGCGGAGAATCGCTGTAGCAGTCAGCTGGAGATTGTGATGTCAAAGCCCCATTTCCACCTCCAAAAGAACACCTTGTACCATTTTATTCACTGAATAAATTACAAGGTGTTCTGGTTTAATGGATTAAATCCCTATGCTGGCAGAAGAGCCTGACCATAGCTCTCTTACACAAAGCAGCAAATTATCTCTCCACAGGTCCAAGACGCTGGCTGGCAGCAGCACTGCTGATTGTGTGAAAAGCTGTGGCCTGACTCTCCTATATGCTGCCAGCACAGGGCAAGAACCCCATATGTATTACTGGCTAGACTGCCTGCCTGCATTATAGTAATAAATAATGAGG